TTACTTTAAGAGTATTAATATAGTTCAATTAAAAAAGAGAATAAAAGAAAAAAGAAATTAAAGAAATTTGAGTAAATAAACAAAATGAAACCAACATATATATAAAATTATTATACATAACACATAATGTAAAAATGAAGTAGCGAAACATGGTTGACATAATACAATAGAACGAGTTTTAAACAAATATAATAATTGAGAATGAAATGGGCAAAGACCTTATACTAATACTAATTAAAGAACGAGTACTAATTGAAAAGTGCGAGATATTTAGAGATTTGAATATAGCGCATATCAACATTTATCTCCTCATTTTCGAGAATTTGCAAGAATACTAATTACTTTTAAATTCTTGTTTGAAGGGTGTCTTCCTTAATTCACAGAGTTCTATGGGTCCAGAATACCATTCCATATCTTTACACCGATTCTAGCAAGGGAAAATAACTGATGATTTAATCTCAATTGTTTCACATAATAATTACCAGCTGCTGAAAATCTTGTGTACCTGTTCCGAGCAAATAAAAAATCCAGAGATATTTGGCAGAGCATGATGATTTTCAACATCATGTAATAAACAGGCAACAGATTTGCAATGGAGCACTTTTATGGGAAAAATTCCTGAACTAACAAACAGAGGAGCACTGTGAATTTTGAAATACAAGAAATGCATTATTCGGAACACATGCTTCTGTAGAATTGCAATTTTCTTGAGATGTACAATAATTATTGTGGCTTGGCCCCAGGCAATCAGACCATAGGAAATAAATGGTTTGATTAAGCGATTGTCATCTCGCCTGCCACGAGATGAGATGATGATGATGATGATAATAATAAAAGTAATATTATAATTATAATAATAATAATAATAATAATAGTAATAATAATAACTTTATTTACATGTCAATGAGATTTAGCATTGCTGCTAATTGGGGACACCTAAAATGAGTTACAACATGGCATTTGAGTAGTTTGTTGTTGCAGCTTTGAACACAAGGAACATCTCAGCTCTGGTATATTGGATTTATTGACCACCTCAGTGACATATTTTTTTATGTGATACTGAAAAAATGTGGATACAGTGGGATTTAAAACTATTACCTATAAAAAGACAGGTTATGGTTTTCACTTACATGAAATCAAAACTTACAAAATACTAGCCAATTTATGCCATACATTCACTTTTATTTCTTTTACATCCTCAAACCACTTTTATTGACCATAATAAGATGGTGAACAATGCTCTCAACATTGCAGAGAAAAATCCTTAAGGCATGGTAAGGGCAACATCAGCCTTAACCCACAAATGGGACCAAGCCAGAATTAGGTGGGATGCAAGCGCTGTAACCACTGCACCATCCCTACACACCAATGAATTTTGCCATCTAAAGACCAAATTCCCCAGTTTTCTGGCTTTTTCTTGTCTATAAAAAATATCTCTAACTTAAAGTGATGTATGGTAACACCAACAAGTGAATAGTAGCCATTCAGAGTAGCCCAAGAGCCAGTCAAACCATGAGGAATGATAGAATGTACCAATGGCCAGCATCACAAAGGGTGTGGCTTTGAATCCTATTGAAGAAATTCTACCTACTCACCACATGCTGCACTTCATCAAATAACTTATTAGCAAATCCATTATCACATGACATGTTTTATCACTTACCTTTACCCTTTTTTGTTTGAAGATGAAAAGTCTGACATAAAGAGATCAATGGTATAATGTATACACACTCTCATGTTTTGTTTGAATACCCCAAGCAATTTCAGTCCAGGAGGTCAACCCATACCAAATTTCAGACCAAATGATAAAAGCTGACCCATTTTCAGACCAAATTAATATCCATTTAGGGTTATAAACCTCTCAATACAAGTAGACACTGTTGACTTGGGACCAGAAAAAGTGTCTACTTATGGAAAGTCAAAATTGTTAGGTTTGTAATAGCCAAGCTCCGGCGGCCCAAAGGGTTGTCAAGTGGAGCCCCATACTCATATAGGAAAGAAAAGGAAACCCAGCGGTATTGCTCGTGGGCTCATACGCACAACAGCGACAGTGACAGAGTTGTGCAACATGGTGGTCACACTCCAAATAAAAGGTTGACAGAGTCCAGCAGCCTTGGTTTACCGTGTACTTCTTTGATATTGGACATCATGTTATGATCAACTGACACCTGTCAAATCAAGGTATCCGCTGACCAGTATCAAGTGACCATATCCTGGGCTCAAGTTTACAGCTCATCGAGGCCACATGTTTTTTTGAAGTTGACCGCTGACCTAGTGTTGGTTTTCAATTGGATCATGGGCTCATGTCAGGATAACTTGTTGAAAACAGGGCAGGATTGTTTGGAAGCCGGTTAATGCTAACCCAGGATTAAAAGTTAACCGAATTATAACTTTTTCATTTATACAAATGTTTTTTGCTGCTTTGTTTTGTGATACGGTGATTATATAAACTCAAAACAGAAGGCCAAACAATATACAGAAAACCTCACCGCAAAGTTAGAAAACTCAAATCAAAATTCTACCTTCTCCCAGGTTAGCTTAATCGGGCTCTGAACAACCCAGCCCAGGAGCTATGCTTTTAGGCTAGCCTAAATCTATATATTATGTAGCTGAACCATGATAAGATGTCTGTTTATAAAAGACCTCCATCTATGGAAGGTGTCCGTTACTGGAGGTTTGACTATACTAAGCTTCATAGCAGAGCTCCTGTGGGTTGAAGGGCACGAGCAGAACCCCATACCTAGGAAAATTTGATAAATAACCTATCAAGCTAAAAAATTGTGGTCGTCATGTGATTGTGCATATGTATGTCCCTCCACCCGTATGCCACTGGTGCAAATTTACAAGCTCTCAAGGTCTTGTTTCATTCATGACACAGGAAATATTACTCAAATTACAGTGTAGTGTGAATAATTAACTTGAACACACTGAATACAAAACTGCACATCTTTGAAATTTTTCCGTTTTTCAATGAATTTCTGGGCTTGTGTTAATGACAAGTTTCTTTAACATTTCTTTCATTTGGCAATCTTCCATTGAGAATTTTATGCTTTAAAAGCAAACAGGATTTGCTTTTAGGCTTGGATAAATCTGTATATTATGTAAGAGAGTACCATATGTTTGGGGATTATGAGAGATAAAAATGGTACATAAACATGACGGCAAAATCAACATGTAATAAAACTTGCTAGAACAAGATATCACATTCATGCAATCCATTCTCTTATGTGCATGTATTTTTAATAGAAAATATATGTATTTTATTTGTTCAAAAAATGTTTCTTTTGAACAACATCTCTATTTTACATCATTTGGTTATTAATTTAGCTGTGGCCAAAAAATTGACTGTTTTAAATCTATTTTGTCAACTGACCTTTCACAATATTGACTTTGAAGGAATGAATAATAAATTAATATCGCACAAGCAGATTATATTATGTGTTGTTATTTTGTTGGTCTTCTATAAATTGCTTGAGTGTTGCTGAATCAACTGGAATGTACAGATATTCTACACCATCAGTACCCTGCAATGACACACAAAGGAAGGATTTACAATACGTCTACCCTTACCTAATCGTACCTTTTTCGTATGCTTTAGTGGAATATCAGGTGAGTTTGGTTGAGTCATGGTTTGTATTTTAAACTTGACTTTGTCTCACCAAAATACTCATGATGAGACCAAACGAGCCTGATATGCTGCCAAAGCATACCAAACAGGTACAATTAGGTATTTACGGTACCCGAATTCAGCCAAGTGACCATGATGTCGTAGCCATATCAGGTGAGTTAGCCATGGCTTCTGAATGGCTAATTGCGAATTTGGGTATGGTAATGATACCTACTAAATTTACATTTGGTGACTAACTGACAAGTAGAAAGAAGTGAAAGCTTTAATAGACTAAGTACTGCCGTACTGTCTGTTTGCATTAAAAATGGCAATGTTTCCTCTTACAATTGAGGAATGCTGTAGTGTAAGGGGAGGGTAACCCCACAACAAATAAATGAACAGTAAAATGAGTAAGAACACCATTTTTTAGTATCATAAATATCTATCACAAACGTTGGGCTGAAAAAACAAAACTACCTCAAAACTTCTCTGTAGCACTACATGGTATACAGTACAACAAAGAAAATAAAACTACAAGTACATTGTAGCCTGTAAACAAGCTCTTCACAGGGAAAAGAAGGAAGCAAAGGAGAAAGGGAAGAAGAGTCTGCGCATATTGTTTAGAACTCTAAATGACGCCAAACTCCCATGGACAACTTAACAAAGCTGTGCTTACCAAATGGTTCTCAAAGAATAAAACAGCTACTGTCAAATGCGCTTACTACCACATACATCCTGCTGTCACTATGTTACATTTTAATAGTGACATGTTCCCGGGGCGATACTCTGTAAATCATTGGCTGGGGGTGTGCCACTGGGACACTGAATACTAGACCATGATCAGCTCGACCTTGCAACCCTATTCTAGACAAGGCACCAAATACCACTACCCTATAACAGACACGGTATTTTCCATGCAGAAACTGTATAATAATAACAATAACAATTTATATGCCATGCAGAAACTTTATAATAATAATAATAATAATAATAATAATAATAATAATAATAATTTATCACTATCAAAGTCCAACATACACTAACTGAACCAATATCTTACAAAGCCACTTTCAAGTTTCAAATTCTATTATAGAACCTCAGGTGAAGAACCCTATTCTAGACTAAATTATTTCTACGCTGGTCACTTTTCCAGTAAATTACACCCTATTCTGGACCAAAACTGTAAGATTTCTACACCCTATCCCAGACTAAACTGCCTGAAAACCATACCCTTCACAGCAGCACATACCCATATAACATATATATGGGAATACCCTGCCCCCAACCAGGTGACATGTGGACTTAAAGCTAACAAGAAATTTGAATGAGTGCTTTAACAAGCCAATACTCTTACTAGCCAAATGAACTGAATACATGTAACTGTCAAGTTGAATCACCTTTTTGGAAGTTATAAGCTTGTGATCACGGAATTCTATTAGCTGTGCTTTCAATGTGGAGTCACTGTTTACCAAGAACTGTTCCCGACATTTAGAGTAACAAGCATTAAATGACAGACCTGGAGGAAAAACAAGACATGGTTATGACTTCAGTTCAACTCCATGACCTAAATATGGCACTAATAACATTGCCAGCCAGCTAGATGATTAATAAGTATGTTTACATACAGTACATTATAGAACAGCCTGGATTGAATATTTCATGAATAACAAAAGTCGAAGGGATGAATAAAATATGGACAAAACACCACCAAAGAGACTAGCTGTGACACAGCATAGTCTATCTTGGTGTTCACCTGTTAATAAAATATTCATGACTAACAAATCTATTTTAAAATTTTTATTGAAATTTTCCCATTTTTGCACGTTTAGTTTTAATCCAGTGCTGAACCTTTCAATAACCTGCAAAACTCTGCTCTATTAACTTTGCCATTAATCATCTTTGTACACCTCTCAAGGAACAGAAGTATACTCCCACAGGTTTTACGTCTGTGGGTTGTGATTGGAGGATTTCAATTGCTTTTCTTGTTATAGAATACTTGGAGTAAAATTGTATGACATTTTATAGATTTTAGTTTTATGTATCATTCTTATCACCTTATTCTAGAGTGCATAATTATTAATAAATACTTTGTTGTGGGATTAGTGCAATGGCACAGCCTGGTTGAAGCCCTGCTTACAAATAGATATATATACATGAACACAAATGAGGGGTAAGAAGCTCTAGACTTGAAGACATGAAGACATGACTGACTATCACAGTTATATACACTACTTAAGCAATTAATTAAGGCCTGAAAACAATTCAGGCTTGAAAGGGATTTGACCTCTGCAATACCGTTGCAGTGCTCTACCAACTGAGCTATCAAACCAACGGGGATCTCTGGACTGTTAAGCTTAATACTTAGGAATGAAGGATGATAACCAACAGCTGAAGTATGAGCTCGCTTACCAATATAACAGCTATTGTCCTTCTCCTCGAGCTGGTGTCCTGCTATCAGGATGAAGATGCCACGAGCATTAGGAGTCAAACTACGGAACACATGAACCAGGGAACTAAGAGCCAGTGCTCCTGTGTGCTGTACTAGCAGAGAATTCTCATATGATGTTTCTTCCTTGTATGGCTCAAATGATGTCACATCAAACCATGACCAGTTAAAACGTCCCAACTGAGTATGATTCCAAACTGAAAAGATTCCATTTCAATGGAATTAACCGTTACACTCTTACTAACAATTACACAAAAGCCATGCTAATTCCCTGTCTCATTCAGTTTTGGTAGGTTAAAAAAATTAATGAAACTATTTACTCACAGTAGTTGTAAGTTAACTTCAACAAAATATTTTATAACAAAAGATGGTTTCTATGAACAAGGCTCAATGTTTTAATCAACTGATTTTGGTTGCCAGTGTGACTACACTTGGCTGTGGAAAACTAACTTAACATAATTGAATAAAATAAATTACAATATTTAGAGGAGAAACCACATCAACCTTAGCTGGTTTTCATGCAGGTCCTCTATCCTGATCGAATTGGAATTTGGAGATGTTGGTCTTTGAGGAGGGAGGAAAAGTGGAGAACCCAGAGAAAAACGCTTGGAGCAAGGGGAAAACTAACAGCAAGCTCAACCTACATATTACACTGGGCCAGAATCCAACCAGGGCCACATTGGTGGGAGGTGAGCACTCTCACCACTGCACCATCCCTGCTTACCAATAAGCTTTCAGACTTGGTTGTTGAGAATAAAGAGAAAGAGTGAGTGTTTCTACCCACCATCAAATTTTGCAGATAAATGTAGTTTGAAGGGTTTATGATGTCCCTCGTAAAGATTAGGCCAACTTCACATAGTTGGAGCAACTTTGAATATATTTTCCACAAGCAGGTCTAAACGTTGACTCCAGTGATTCATTTAAAATTTCTAGATTAGTGCTGTCCTTGATTTACTCACTAAGAGGTGCATTGATGTGATCAATACTAGCAATGACATGAAGAGCATCAACTTCTGCAAGAAGGCTGAGGATTGTCTGAGTCTGAAATACAATCAAATAAATTAACCTAAAAATTGTCCAGAAATTACCATCAGTTATTAAACACGTACAAATATACTTATCTCTAGCTTCTCCACACACCCTTACCTCCCATTTATTATGCAGGAAAAGGTTTCAAAAACTTTAAAAAGTTTCTTTAAATTCCTGATTCTGTAAATTAGACTTACAAAACTGAAGTTTTTGATTTTAAAGACAGGCAATGTCCATCCTGATGAAGTATCCATTTATGTATTTACCATACCGTAGAGTGTATTTACATATTTATATTTATATGTTTTCCATAACAGTTTATACTCATCTGATAGTTGGATTTCAAAAGCTATTAGAAATGCTGGCATGTGAAAAAAAATGCTTGCTCAACGTATCACTGATTTGTCAAAGTTACAGTTCCCTGAGTCAACAGAATTTGTACATGTCACCACTCAGGAACTTTCTTAATCATTACTTCTTACTTAAATTTAGGGAAAACAAAGAGCATATGTAAAAGGAAACACTTCAGCAATGTATTATGGTTCATTGAATCTCTAGGGTATATGTGGTGGACATTTGCCCTCACTTTGAAATTTCACAAACCCTTTTCCTTTAATGAATGGAACACAAAGAAAAACACTCATCAAGCTAATTTGATTTTTTTAAACCACACTTAGTTGTATTAAGTAATACACACAGGCAGTCCATACTTACCTTTTTGGATCTTAGCATAGAGCCATCAATATTATGAATAATTATAAAAACCTCCTCTGGACCTAAAACATACCACAAAATAATGAAGTCAATAATTAAGATGGTATTCATACTTAAACTTGAAGGTAAACAATGAAGGCAGTGTTACAAATTTCATTCTAACATGATGCTCTCTCAACCAGTTCAACTCCATGTCATTCAAACTCTTCCATGTTACCTACATACACTTTAAAGTGCAACTCAAAACAGCAGCTTTATACATGCTCTGATACACGATCACACAGACCTGTATATTCACTATAGCTATTAGAACATTAACGCTTTTTCTTTGCACCAGAAGACTGTAGCATAACAAACATTATCTTTTCATCATGTCTTAAAAGGAGGACTTCGTACAGCTAGGACAGGAGCGTCTCAGATCTACACAAAAATTTTGCATTCCAAACATTTCACTCTAACAGTACAAAAACTGTTGAAGTGTGATACCACTAACATTTCTTACTGGTGAAACTCTGTTTGATAAAGTCACACTGATCTGTCACACTCTTGAATGATCCGTCGTGCATTAAAACCTCCTCAGTTATTATATTGAGAACCTTCAACAGTAAAATGTTCTCATTAGTAACAGTGTAAACAAAATACTGTAACATTCTGAAAGCAACACCCATTGCTACTTGCAGATAAAGCAGCCCTTGCTTTTTTCTCACTATTTATTTGTGTGTACTATTTCTGGTGGGTCAGCATCATCAAGAAGGCCTTGAGATGGAACCCACTGGGGGAAATAAAAAGTAGACGTGATCTGAAGAGTTTTGGATGAGCCCAACTCTTGGCAGCTACATCCCTGTGATGGGTAGCTAAAGCATGTTCCATATACATGTCTGAGAAAATCTACCTTTAGATACTGTTTTGAATAAAACTGTATCATGATCATCTCATAGTTTTGCTTACAAGAGACACAACATTATAACACTGTGATGTTGTCTCACTTTTAGCACGCATGATTGGTTGAAAAATTGAAAACCTTTACTGTGCACTAGTTCATCTCTACGAACTATTCAATGTAAAAAGGAGCTTTAAGCCCCAGCCAAACAATCGCAACAGTTTAATGCAACATATCGCAACATTGCTGGCCTAGTATTTGCAAGCCTCGGCCAAACAATCCCAACATTTCGATGCAACATATTGTAACATTGTTGGGCACAACATATTGCGTGCATTTGGCCACCCTGTTGTGACGTGTTGTGACATGTTGGGTGTTGCAAATCAAACTAGTGCACATGCCCTGGTGACACATTGTTGCACAAACCTGGCCAAATGAGTAGAACATCATGCAACATCCACAATTGTTGCATGAAAACTTTGACCATTTTCAAACTTGAGCCAACAACACCCAACATGTCACAACACATCACAACAGGGTGGCCAAATGCACGCAACATGTTGTGCCCAACAATGTTGCAATATGTTGGTTGAAATGTTATGATTGTTTGGCAGGGGCTTTATGTAGGCAACAAAAGGCAGGTAACTGATTTTAATCATTCAAAGTACAGTTGAAGCTTTCGTAAATGACCACCTAAGAAATTCAAAAAATGGTCACAACTAGAGCTGCTCCCTTACAAGAATGAGCCCTCGTAAATAAGAGCTTCAGAAAATCATTAATAGTTCATAAAGAAAAAACAAAAGAAATTAATGTTCAGTGAGTGTCTTTATATCTGATATAGACAGGGCTAAACTGCACTGTACAAGATCTTTATCAATGAACCATCAGCACAGTGTGCAGTTTCATTCAAGTGTTGATTTATATGTAAAAGATGCTGAGTGGTCACTTATAAGAGTTTAAAAACAAAGGAAAAGTCCAGTTGGGTAATCCCAAGAGTGGTTGAAGTCACTTATGGGAGTGGTCCCTTACAAGAGTTTTTCAGTTACAAAGTTTAAGTCACAGTTCAAACAGGGTTTCACAAAGATGGTCGTAACTAGAGCTGGTCACTTATGAGAGTGGTCACAAGGAGAGCTTCGACTGTAGTCGGTTTGTGAGTCACTACACAAGCTACTCACGTAAGAAGGTGAGACCACTTGCACAAATAATGTATAATGTTCAGAATGTGACCTGCATCTTTCAGACTGATTTCCAACTACATGTAATCTGATTCACAGTGTCACAAGCTAATCAGAGTCCTGACACATCAGCTGGACACTTAGTTGGATGCTCTACTTGTGGAAGGTAGGTAAAGGGTAAAGTCTGCACACAAGTCAAAAGGCCCACCAGGCTGGTACTTATCTCTGGTTTCTATGTAGCATGAAGGTGACTAGGAGTATTTCTACTCCCCCCTGGATGGGACGCTAGTCCATTGCAGAGTTACCCCACAGTATTAAATTTATCAGTACCCATTTATACACCTGGGTGGAGAAAGGCACTGTGAAAGTAAACTGTCTTGCCCAAGAACACAACACAGTGTCCCTAGCCTGGGCTTGTACCCGGACTGTTCGATCATTTACAGTACTTTACCTATAAATTGTGTTATAACATACATACAAGAATTGAATTGAATTGAATTGAATTGAATTGAGAGTTGAGCGCTTTTAACCACAAGGCCATGTAATACAATGTATGATTTGATCTTATTGCCTCTTGATCCTGTTGGAAACATGATTAAACCATAACTTATTGACACACACATGTACACGGTATATAATTACTTCATAAAACACTTACATTTTTAATGGTGAGACTAGGAAAAAAGCCATTGACTACAACTTGAAGGTATCGAGAAAGCTTAGAGGAGCGAAATTGATCAAGTAGAACTTTTTTAGATCCAAGGCCATAGAGAAGAATGTTGAATCCATTTCTTAAAATAAAAGTATTAGGTCCAACTGTAAGTACACAAATGAATTAGATTAAGAATAAACTTTATTATTATATAGACACCACTGTTTTACTGGAAAATACACCACTCGTAAAATTCATACGAAACCACATCCAGGACTCGGGTGGCATATTTTCCATATCCTCACTAGTGAAGATATCGATGATTTCACTGATATCAAGTTTGTATCTTAAATTGTAGTTAAATTCATTGGTGTATGATCGAAACTCCTCATAAGTCTGGCAATCTTCAGAAATCCTCAGGAATCTTCGGAAATTTTCAGAAAGTGTTTGACAATGCAAGTCTTGGAGAATCTTTGGAAATCTCTGGAAAATCGCCAAAAACGCGGTCATCAGTATGCCTATATATAATAAAAAGAACATTACACGTTAGCTCAAAGATATGAATTTTATGCTCTTATGGCAAGAACATTATCCCACGAGTTCGCACGTCCTTGTCACTCAAACATAAAATTCATATCTTCTCGTCACCATGTAATATCCTCTATATATTTTATTAAAAGTACACCTCTTACTAGCAGTAGTTGAAGCTAAGCAGTATACAGTATAACAGAACTGTTAATCAATAAGTATGGGTAATCAAATGGTGATGGGTAAAATTAGGAAATAATTTCACTTGCATTTTGTCAAAATTCTAATAATTTCCCTTGCTAAAATGTCATGCCAAAATTAAGGCGTAATTTGTCACCCATGATATTATAATCAATAACTTTCCCAGTAATTTTCCTTTCAAAAAGGCATAAACTCTTACCCACCTCTAAAACAGCCACAGCATGAGAAAACTCTACCAAGCTACTTATACAATAGATGGTTTCTGTTGAGAAACTATCAGCTGANTTGCCTGACAAGCGAAGCTTCAAGGGCAAATATGCTAGCTTTAAGAACATCAAGGCAAGGCAAACTATCAGACTGTGACATGAACAGTCTTTTGTCTTTACTGTTCACCACTCCATTTTCTTCTGCACGCCAGTTCAAAAATCATATGGAATTATTTTCAACTTTTTTGGATGAAAGGCATGAAAGACAAACGTAAAATTCAAAAAAGAAAACAGACAAAAACCCACTAAGTGCAATTTCACTTTTTTTCCATAAGCCCGCTTGTTTACAGAAAAATTTTCACAGATGAGTACTGTATACATTATGTATCCAGGTATTTTCCTTGGACAAGCACTATGGGAAGATAGAGTCTTTCTGAAGTTGAACACTCCATCATGTGAGCAATTTAAACCAATAAGAATCGGAGAAAATTTAGTGGTGAACTATTAATGAACCACAGAATTATGTTCACATGCTAAGTACTGTATTTTTCCTGCACAAGGTGGTTTAAGTTTTAAGTTAGGAGATGAAATCCCAGAGTGGGATTATAAATGCATAATTTATACCATTTGGTAATACATAATTGAGCAATGTCTTGTACATGTTAGAACTGTACACACCTTAAATGAAACATCCACTTGTCAAACAGAGCTTGCAGTTTGTGGTACAATTCAAATCTTTCCTGTGGATGGGAACTGGACACTTGATTTAACTGAGACAGCAGTTTCTGCGCACCAAAACAGCACACATGAACAATATCAGAAAGAATAATATTATAATCACTGTTGTAAATTAAAGTGACTGCTAAGTAAATTATTTATTTTAAAGTAAGGTGGCTATGAAGAAATGTTTGCAAGTGCACCACCTCAAGAGGAAAAAAGAATCATACAACACTAACTGAAGATAAATTCAGAGGCATACAAAAATTGGCTGATAGATTGACTGCCTGCCTTCGTGACTACCCAGCCACATGAATGAATAAAGTATTGGTCAGTAATACTACTGCCTTTAAAAGCTTACTTGTTGATCCATCCATGGCATGTTTAGTTTTGAGAGAGTATGATCAGATGTTACACACTTAGAACTTTGCTGCTCAAAGTACTCTTCCCGCGCCTCCTCTATCTGAAGCAAAACAGAAATACAATGTAAGAAAATTAAAGATTATCACATTAAAGAAATTCCTGCAAGACATTATAAATAATGGCAATTGGCCTATAGACCTTATACAGTATTCTCTCTTGTTCCATTACCATGCAAAGAACAAACAAGAAGTGTCCAGTGACTACCTAGCGAATGTTAACTATTCTGTGTCATCACCAGTGAAGATAAGATTCAGACCCAGCTTTGCCATAAACAGCCCAGTGAAAAAGCTAGTGAGCTAAGCTGAATAATATTCCAGTATTCCAGTTTATTATATGGCTAGCTCCGTGAGCGGGCAAGATGAATCAAATCCTGCTCTGTGATTGGCTACCTGAGCGGGCAAGATGGAGCTATCTTGCCCACTCAGGACTACCCACCGTGTCCCACAAGAAAATTTCCCTGAAAGCCATGTAATAAATCCTTTATTGACCAAGCTTGTTCAGTCAAGATGGCTGGATATTGGCCTTGTTCTTTTTTTTCGAGTTTATGGACCTCGACTCCGTCTCAGTCCATAAACCTCGACTCCATCTCGGTCCATAAACACGAAAAAAAAAGCACTTGGCCAATATCCAGCCATCTTGACCTCACACTTGGTCAATAACCCATACATAAAGTCCTATTGGTATGGCATGCTTAGTCCAATCTAAGCTGTCACACGATCATTATGTTTCCAAACATCCTAACTCTCTATACATAATAATTTACCTGAGTTGTATTTCCTCTAGTCACTCTCTTCAGAACTCTGGTCAAACAGCAGAAAAATGCTTGCTTTAGTATCATTTGGTAAGTAGTTGTGAGGGTACAGTGAGGGAGGTTAACAAAGCAGATAGCACAAAAGTACAATTGTCCTAGGAGTATTAGGATTAAATTTAGCTTCACAGAATAGACTGGCACACGAATGGAAGGGGTATTGTGAACTCTCACAACACAATAGCAAGATGGACACCTTCAGAGCCAGCTCTTGGATGTACGACACCTCTAAAGGTATACAATAACCTTGAGTTTACAGTGGCATGCTAAATGTAATAGAGCTGCTTGACGTTAAGTTCAAACAAGTAGAATGATATAATTTAATACCGTGACGTTGTTTCATTAGCAGTTACTGGTCCACTGTTTGAATCAGAATCCTCTGAATCTGAGTCTCGTTCAACACCTACAACAATACAACAATGATGCTAAGTCACGGAATTTTAGGTAATTTTGCTTATTTTTGTCAACTATGAGTTCTAATCTTTAAATTGACTGCGTTGCAGTTTTTAATTGGTAAAATCCCGGCCACATATCAAAGAAGGATAATTTCCGAGAGTTGTAAATAGTATTTTTATACAAATTGACATAAACTTCAATTTTTAGTTTTGCTCCTTTATGCCCCTTTTTGGCTTTCCAGTGTTTCTTTTGACTTCTTCTCTGTTTTCAGTCATTATTATGATACATGTAATTCAGTTAATTCTACAACCATTCGACAAGAGCTAATTAAAAATTGCCTAAAATTGTGTGACACTCGAGTGTGTGGAGTCACAGTAACCTAATGGTTAGAGTCCTTGACCCTGCATCAAGCAGTCTGGGTTCCAGCCCTGGCAGGGGTCATGCTGTTGCATTCTTGGGCAAGACACTTTACTCTCACAGTCCCTTTCTCCATCCACAAGTAAAAATAGGTATCACAGAATTTACTGCTGAGGGTAACCCTGTGATGGACTGGCATGCCATCCAAGGGGAGTAGAAATACTCCTAAACACTTCATGCTACAGAAACCAGGATCTAAGCTCTGGCTGTAACAGTATGGAACCCATGGCCCAATGCAGACTTAACCTTACCAATCACTTATAAGTGATCATATGATACTACAAGAAAATTCATTACCTGACAAGGGAATTCCATGATAAATTTCACACAAAAAACCAATATCGCAAGAATTGCGATATAATGAGTGCGATATCCGTTTTTCAAGTCAAATTTAATGTGGAATTCACCAGTCAGGTTACAAATTTTCCTTGAATCGCACAGCCTTCTTTCTAAATGAAAGAAAACGCTATTTCATTTACGTCTGTGTGAAAAGCCATTCCAGTTGAATCAACTATTAAGACTGTCAGGAGCCAGCGAAAAGAAATCCAGCTAAAATCAGTGAGCTTTGTGGACGGCGACAATGGTTTTGAAAACATGATTAAAAGATCATTGTTTCTAATTGTTCTTGAGTTGTTGTTTTGTTGCCACTCCAGTGCAATAGCATGCAAAGCCTCACTTTCAAGAATCGCAATACCCCGCCTAGGTAACCAATCTGCAGGATGAGATGATTCTCAGAGCTATGCCATTCTACTGTATATCACAGCATAATACCATGTACCTGCTAGTTTGCTAATTACAGAGCATTTTCCTGCCAGTCTTATTTTTACAATTTTAATATCCATTAAGGACGACATTTTTGCGAAAACAGGTTTTTAAGATTCTTAACCCTTATCCTGCATATATCCACCATGTATCAACACTCAAGCATAAAATGTGAAATTCCACAAATTTAGTGAATATTTTATTGAAATTTGTTTACTTTGAGATATTGATGAATTTGATTTTGAATGAATTGCTGTTAGTAGGCAAACATTTGCAAGAACAAAGAACATAGTTTGTTGAATTTCCTCTCAATGCATTTGCATAGTGCTGTATAACTCATCCATGTACACTAAAAATTCAAAGACCAAAACTAAAATCTACCCTGATATAGGAAACAAAATTAATATAATTATAACTTATAATACAACCACTGTTTAATGTGAAATAGTATTAGTTCCAATCTCTTAAAGTGTCAAAAGCAAAAAGTCTATAATGTATGTGAAGAAAACTTCATAATATTATTATCTTGTTAGTGTGCAACAAGAGACACTTATAATCACACCTTTCAAAAGAACAGCTTTTCTTCTGTGACGCAAAGAATACCCTTTGTTATTGTTTTCATCTGAGGATGCATTTGCCTGTAAAAATATATTTCACTTTGAGTGTTAGCAAATGGGATGGATATACTGTGAATTTCCACCATCGTTCCAAAATCTTTTCTACAAACTACATTGTAACTTGTTGACCATATTAAAAAGGCCAGTAACCAATAGGCCATGTTCAATATATCAATATTCCAGCATGGCTCTGATGCTTTCAGGACAAAATTAAAATTTTTTTAAGTTTCTTTTGTCTCTCAATTCCCAAAAGAGACTTGGATACAAAGAAAACACCACCAAATAAAGAAGTTTGTCCTGAAAGCCTCGGACCCATGTTAGAATATTGATATATCGATCATAGCCCATTTACAAAGACTGACTGAGCTTTTGTCCACTCCAAGAATACAATAGTCAGAATAAAATTTTGCAATGAAAATGGATGACAAAATGAAATGTTCTTAGTACTTAATTCGATTACCATTTTAACTTAAGATTAAACTTACAATAGAATGATGAATTAAGACGTAAATTTCAATAATCCAGGTTCAAGAAAACACAGACTCAGTGATTGGTATGAGATGATAGGAAATACACATAAATATAACAACAATAAATATTATTAATTATAACAAATACAAATTTGTTTGAGCAAAGAGAAAGCAAAAAGTCATTTAGTCATTGTGTTCCACCAGCCTTAATGCCATTCAAGAGAAGGATGTACTCCATTCCCAAGCATAAACATATTTCAAAGCAAAAACTAAGAGAAAGTCTTAAGTTTGTTTTCTCCTGCATTTCAGTTCTCTACAAAATAATTAGGTACCTGGTCAGCATTTGAGGCAGGAACAATCTCTCTTGTGTCTGAAATGTAATTTTCCTATAATATTATATCAGGTATCAAAAATGCATATTCCCCATTTAAAATTTTAATTAAAATTAATTTTCATATGTCAACCTATGGCCCAATCATAAGTGATTACTCTGTAGAAATCCAGGGAGGAACTGACTGAATTCAAGGTTCAAATAACAATCTGTGATGTTTCACAGGGCAAACATTCCAATAGGATTAGTAGGGCAGAAGTAAAAATTCAATTAAAGGGAACAATTCTGTGTCTCAGAGTTTCACATGATTTGTCACTCCTGAAAATAACTTTAATGACCAAATGTTGCCTCAAATGCCATATTGTTGACTATAAATTATATTAAATTACACTAAACAATAAAAGCAATAGCCATCATACTTTTGCCTTTCTTGTTGCTCTTTGGAGTCTTCCTCTTGTTGCATGGTGATGCATTCTGAATATGAGCTGGTGTTTTGTTGTGAATTGCCAAGGATGCTATAATATATACATTGTAAGAAACCAAAAAAATCATCACTACAGTAAGATTCACAACATTCATCAAACTCTAATTTCTCAAAGCTTTGTAATTACATACAGTGATTAATTAAGTGGACCCTACGTAAACAGACAGCCTCTATTAAGCAGACAGTCTGGTCCCAAAATTAGTGTTTTATCTGAACCAGTATTTACTTGTATATTGAGCAGACACTTCTGTGGTACTTATTTATGTGCTACATCCCCTTCGCCAAAAAAGTGTCATATTACACCCCTACTTCCCCGTAACGGCCACTTCTCTACAACAGCCTGACTTTCCTCTGTTCCCAGGGTGGTTGTCATGAAAACGTTTGACTGTTATAATACTATAATATCATACCTGCCTCAGCTAACCCACCACGCCGCTTAGGAGTCTGAAAACCAAACACTGTTGATCCACTCATTGGTGCCTTACAATCAGTACCAAGACCTACAAAACAAGCATAATTTTAATGCCCTAAAATATTTTTGACAAGGACTTTAAAAAAAAAATTATTACCATGTTGTCTTTGATGGTGACTTCCTAGAAGGGATCACATTGAACCAAATAGTAAAATTACTTTTTATCACCTGGGCTCCAAAGCTCTAACTTATAACTATATGAGGTCATGTATGCAAACATTGTTTTTGCTCTTGGACATGCAACTTAGGCTATTGCAAAAATAAAGCCTGAAAAATTCATGACTCCAACTTATGACCAGTGCATTACCAGGGCTGTGCTCTACCAGCTATTACCTCTTCAGGCTTTTCTGGCCTTGGCAGCTTCAACGTTTTCCCATTGCAAGTCTTTGTTTTTGTATGAAATTTCAGGGCTTGGATTCAAGTCCTCTCTGTATTAGCCGGTAGCCAACCCTCAGCTTTAAATCTTTGTCTTTAAATCTTTATCCTGTGGTTCAAATATATGACCTATACCTACAGGTGTCACTAACTCACAACCCAACCAGCTCTTAACTAGCTTGATCATCATGATATTTTCATTTTGCTACAATAAAAAAAGAGGTATCTAGTAGCGCAGGAGACCTCCAAAAGAACCACCTGGCTTATAACGGAAGCCACCTTAATTGTTTACATAGTTTAAACTTTAAGCTTTGTATGCATAGCAATACTACCAGTATGCATTGTGCAAGACTTCCATGCTGAGGACTTTTTAAATTCCACGCTAAGCGCCTGGCAAGCAACCACTGTCCCACACCAAAGAATGCTATTTTCAAAGCACCAACACAACACAGATGGGAAAATTGGCTAAAATGGATCATATAAGATCCCGGTTATTGGCCAAGATATTGGGGATAAAGAGAAGTTAAGAAACCATAGTAATCACACCAAATTCATCTTGTGTAGTTTAGCGTTAATACACCAGCACCAGCAAATATAAATGTGCTTGCTGTTATACACCAAAAACCACAATCACATGCTGGTACGCCGTAAAATTTTAAAGACCACGCCAAAGATCTTCTGCATAACCTACATTGACTCACCCTGAACTTTGCCAAAATTTGCGTCTTATCATGCCTATCAAAAGTTGATAATATAAAAAAATTTCACCATGCCATTTCTGAATTATAAGCCCCTAAAGCTGTAATTAAGGGTGCTTTCAGGAGGTCATACTGTTGCTATGGTAACCTATTGCATCACAAAAATGATAACAATGTGTTCACCAATGATTGGGCAGTTTTTTGATACCATGATTGTAGCATCAAGTGAGTAGTTTTACACAAACCATCAAAATCTAAGTGCTGAAAACTGTTTTGAGCCTCCTTAAACCAGGAACACCAGAATAGCAGCATATTGCTAACCACTAACTGTTTACAACTTCCAAATGAAAAACTAGCTGTTATCTGCCAAAAATTATATTGCAATCCAACTGTAAACATGTACCTGCTGATGGCGTAGTATACACGCCAAACAAGTGCGAGACATGCAAATGTCCTACTTACTGGGGAAAAAATGTAACAGGCACAGTAAAAGTTTAAAAAAAGATCAATAACTTTACAAAACATGTGGATACCCCTACATTTTATGTTATGAAATGGAAGTGGCAAACCTCTTCAATAAGTGCCTAGTTTCTGGTGGTGAGCAAATTAACAAATGGTAAACGCCATAGCATGCACTTATTGAGTTATGGATGCACGCGGGAGGTTGCTAAGCATGAAAGAAGCACAAGAGTCGCACTCAGCTATCACCTCGTGCAACTCTAACTTCTTGAGTGCTTAGCAAACCTCCCAAGTGCATCTATAACTCAATAGTGCACGCTATGGTGTTTACCATTTGTTTTATAACATAACATTGAGACATTGGAACAACAGAAGTCCTTTTATCGAGCTACATCACAAAAAAATGTGCGTGTAGTCTTACATGAGCTACATCACAAAAAAATGTTTGTGTAGTCTTACATGACAAGAGAAAACAACCGCGCAAAAATTCATTCATGACAACCGACTGCACACCAGTAACTCGATAAAGTTTCATCTTCAGACAACTGTGAAGACAGTTTCGCA